CCTTGAGTCCTAGTGGCTTTATTGGCTTGCTTTGTTTAAAATGACTTTTGAAAAGTTATGCCACTTCCACATTATGATAATAATCCATTTTTGCAACAAATTCTGACAGACAAAAAATTAGATATTTTAGAAGTATGTGGAACATAAGAGACGTTGGGGCAAAATCAAAGAGTCAATACTAAAATTAAGACCTTCATCTAAATGATTTTATTTGGTTCAAGTCGACTCACCACCGTCGACTCATCACGCAAACTATGAAGTTTATTCGTCGGCTTTTTTTTTTAAAGAAATGAAAGTAATTTATAAAAGATCATTTTTAAAACACTTTAGCCACTTCTACATTAGCCATTGACGAATTTTAGGAATGCTTCTTTATTTCTTTCATAACTATTATGGTCATAAAACTTAGTAACTATAGATTTTCTATGTACATTGACTCAATGTTGCCCGTGAGCTTTATGTTATAGCTCTCTTTATGTTAATTACCTATTAGCTAAACCAATCCCATTAATTAACCCTGAATCTTTTGGGTTTCAAGCCCTGCGTTGATCTACGGATTCTTCTACATCCCCATCCCACCCGCCTCTTACCGGTTTATGGGGGACCTTGATCAATTTCTTTTATTCTTAATATTATTTCTTTGACTTCCTTAAATGTTAAGTTTTCAGTTTCAACCGGGCAAGTCATTAACGAAATGTGCCTAATGGCTTCGCATCCCGCAGTGGCCAATAATAGATCCGTGATTTCTTTCTGTCCTTCAGGTGTTTGGTCATCTCGTAACGTTCCTCCTGGGTAAGATGTTAAACTACATTCACGTCCTGGGTAAGACGATAAACTACATTCACGTCCTGGGTAAGACGATAAACTACATCCAACAGCAAGGCCTCTGATCAGGAGGTTTTGAGGAGCGTGGAACCACCTCTTAATTTCTGGTGTTCCCAGGTCTACCCTGATCCGGGGTGGTAGTACCTGTTAGGGTTCCAGCTATAGGCAAATAGTTAAATATTACCAGCAATACTTTTTTGAAAAAATTTTTTTACCAGAACCAGATTTTTGACAAAACAAAATATTACCAGCAATAAAAAATGTGGGTATTGTGCCCAATGAGGTTGATATGCCGTAAAACAAAATAAACCAAACCAATCTAAACCAAAGAATACATATTCTATTCATACGAATCTACCCTAAAAATGTTGTCGGCATTAAATAACCCATTGAGGTTGATATGCCGTTAAACAAAATAAATCAAACCAATCTAAACCAAAGAATACATATTCTATTCATACGAATGTATCCTAAAAATGTTGTCGGCATTAAATAGCACATTGAGGTTGATATGCCGTAAAACAAAATAAACCAAACCAATCTAAACGAAAGAATACATATTCTATTCATACAAATCTATCCTAAAAATGTTGTCGGCATTAAATAACCAATTGAGGTTGATATGCCGTAAAACAAAATAAACCAAACCAATCCAATCATCTCATAACATCTTTTTGCTGTCGTGTGCCTCAAACCATTTTTTCCAATTTTTTTCTTTTTCTTGTTCTTCTGTGTTCAGCTCTGTCAGACGACGCCATTTTGTTATGAGGATCAAACTTAGAAGCCGTAGATGTTCTACGTACGCTGACTAAGTTGCCCCTGAGCTACCAATTATAGCTCTCTTTATGCTAATTACCGATTAGCTAAACCAATCCTATTACACGTCTACCTTTTATACGTGTTCAGTCAACTGAGGTTCTTGTAACAAGGCAAAGGTTCAACAACCCTATTTAAGAAATGTACATCCTCTAACTAAAAGGTGATTTCCCAGAAAAAAATAACGCTTGTTCGATCTCTGCATAGATACCGTTTCCTTAATATGACTTTCGATGATCTAGATCGGTAGACATTAATTTCGTTGTTTATTAAAAAAAAAGAAACAACAAAAATTGCATACATTTTGTTGTAATTTTGGCTAATCGTCGTTGCCAAAATATTGTAACCTAGAAAAGATTACTGGATAAAATAATCAAACAAAGGTTGGTAATGAACGATAATACTTAGGACAAAAACAACACATATAAGATTCGCTAGTGGTATGTAGAAGTAGTAGTCAACTGCTAGAAGTGAGTTAAGTGAATTCCACAATGAATCTCCAACAGGAGGATATCAACCAACCGCCATACGCGGTCAGATGTGGCACGAGTTCGAATTTAATGTTGGGTAGGCTCGGCCAAAAGTTCCCAGTAGACCCAATATAAAACGGGATAGGGTAGCTGTTTCCCGAGATGAGACTCTGCCCTTCGACATAGCCTAGTCTGGGGATCCTCTCTGTCTACGGGCAGAGTGTTTGACCAGCATAGTTGGAGATGAATTTCCAACTGCAGAAGATCTACCAACCTCCCCATGCGGTCAGATGAGGCCGAATTTAATGTGGTGTAGGCAGCCCCACAAAAGTTCCCCGTAAACCCCGTATAAAGCGGGGTCGGGTAGCTTCGACGTAGCTTCGTCTGGGGATCCTCTCTGCTTACGGGCACAGAGTTTGACCAGCACAGCTGGAGACGAATCTCCAACTGCAGGAGATCCATCAACCGCCTCACGCGGTCAGATGTGGTACAAGGCGGAATTTAATGTGGTGTATCCAAGTCCGTAGGCTCGGTCAAAAATTCTTCGTAGACCCCGTATAAAACGGGGTCGGGTTACTGTTTCCCGAGACGGGACTATGTCCTTCGACAAAGCCTTGTGTGGGGATCCTCTATGCCTGAAGGTAGAGAATTTGACCAGCACAGCTGAAGACGAATCTCCAACTGCAGACAAACATACAGTATTTACTACTGTATTTATGCGAATTATCGTCCGTAAGTGCAACTCATTTTCTTTATAAATAACACTGAGTATAAGGATATCTCTTCTCACCGGACTTATTCAGTCTATACAGAGAAGCGATTCTGAGAGAATAAGAAGTCCTACCAGGACTCATTATTGGCGGTCACAATCTTGAGATATGCGAATGGCACCGTGTTGATAACTGACCCAGAAAGGAAACTACAAGAACTTCTAAAGAAGGTAGGGAAGAAAAGTGAATGGAAAGAACTAAACCTCATTTGCAAGAATGCATGGTTGTTGGCAAAAGGAACAGTCCAACATGCAAATTACAAAGTGTAAATATCAAAAACAGACAAATGCAAACATGTAAATATCTGGGAAGAAATTTTTTTTAACAAAGGATGGTAAGTGAGACAGTGAATTCCGAAGGTGCATTGAGATAGCCAAAGATGCCTCCCAAAAGCTAAGCAAAGTATTAAGAAAGAGAAAAATGTCATTAGAAACAAATAAAAGAATACTGAAATGTTATGTAATATCAGTACTCCTCTATGGTAGTAAATTCTGAACAATCAGTTGATAGATAACAGTTGACACTAGATTTGAAGAAGTTAATATTGTAGAGTTAGGGAAAGCATCCTCTCAGGAGTCTGCTCCAAAAAATAACAGTTGTAGAGGAAAAAAAAGCTGCACAAGTGGAGCTTTCTTCTTAACAATGAAATATGAAGGAAATGAAGACGATTCGACCCCACGCACGTGGCACGGTGGATGCTCGATGGAAAGGCCTGAACT